TGTCATCTGCTACGAGCAGGGTGGATCATCACGCCGTCAGTGCTAGGGGTATGTCATCTGCTACGAGCAGGGTGGATCATCACGCCGTCAGTGCTAGGGGTATGTCATCTGCTATGAGCAGGATGGATCATCACGCCACTATACGAGTAGCTCCTGCTCCGATCGAGCAGGTTCGCGCCAACTTCTCAATGGATTACCCCTCTCAGTCATAGCGATGGGCGTGGGGAGTCCAGGTGTACGAGAGAGAAAGAATCGGCTGATATAACCTACGAGGTCAACGTAAGCGAGCATAGCCCCAGAACCTCTGTAATCTCTGTAATCCCGACTCCAATGTCTGGAAGTGTAGGCTTAGCTGTTACAGTGTTAGCGCAACTCCCCGATTAGTGAGGTCCAGCATATGATCCTACTGTGGGACAGTAAGCATGTCCAGATATATAACAATCGTCATACTGGCTAGGAATTTTAATGTATCAAAATGATTATATATTAATATATTATTCTTATAAGGGCACGCAAAAGAAATTTAGACAGTGTTATACAACATGTATATTGGTATTACAATATAACATAACGTTAAAGCCAACTAAAGTGAACATTTTGTCTGTTCGGGATTACAGTAGGTCCACGGACCCGCACGCGTATACATGAGCACGCACGTACGCGCGCGTGCACGCACACATTCAGGTATTCGCTCACGCACGCACGCGCACACGAACGCACGCGTACATGCGCGCAGGCTGGCCAACAGTAGCTCGCCTTTGTTACAAATTGTGTGCGCGTGTAGATGTGTAGGTTGCACAATATATAGTCTAGCTTTGACTACAAGCAAGATTATATATGAACAAGATTTTAAGATTGCACAATCCCGCCCCAGTGACCTACAAACGGCGTAAAACCTCACGTAGAATCTTCTACAACCAGTAATGGCTTAGTGCAATTGTCAAGCATTTCCATGTTGGATGTAGATATGGTAAGACAGAAAGAGCGAGGAAACAAACTGATAGATCAGCAAAGAGGACGACGCACACGATCAACTCTTCAAATAGACGTACAGACAGACAAACAGGAAAGCAGATAGACAGACAACACAGATAGACAGACACCGGCTCGACGACAGACGCACACACGGACGGACACACGAACAGACAGACATACATACAGACAGACAAACAGACAGACAGACAGACAGCCAGACAGACAGGCAGCCAGACATACATACATACAGACAGACAGACAGGCAGCCAGACATACATACATACTTACATACATACAGACAGACAGCCAGACATACATACCTACAGACAGACAAACAGACAGACAGACAGACAGACAGATAAACGCACAGGAAGAACTCGCGTACGTGACAAGGCGGTCCCGTGCTACCTGCGTTTATCCTGTGATATCAGCGGCGGCAGACATGACAGGTAAGCCCTACACTCAAACCTAATCACACTCTCGGCTAATCATAGATAAGTGCACGTACGGCTTTGCGAAGATGCGCTTTGCAATATCTCGAGAAAGATCAGAATCACACACGAACCGCACAAATTCCTCATCCTACGGTCGTATATATTATTATATAGAATCTACTATAGTTGTTCTCGATCGGGTTTGTCAACACCGCAATCTGCATCGTCCTCCTCCCTGTCATTGCAGTTAACCATTATACGCATGTTCTCATCATCTGTGTTCTCGTCTGTACTGCAATCAGTAGAAGCCGTACGCGGTGAGCTAGACCAACACAACCTTATGTGGTTCAGCTAGCATTCACGCGCACTAACGTCATCACGTTATAGGCGACACTTGCGTGCGCATGTTGGTTGGTCGTCTCCGCGTAGGGAATGCTGGGAGCTGCATATATCTACGTAATGAGTGTGGCTGTGACCTGCGCTATTTGAGCGTTCTCTCGTTAACCTCGGTTTTGCCGATGGCTGTTTGTTATACGCCAGTGTTGTTGAGTTCGCTCGACCGTATCTCGGCCCGACGTGTGATACATCTATATCTTGCGTTCTCTCTCTCGTTCTCTCTCTCTCACACACACACACACACACACACACACTCACAGACACACACACACACACACACACACACACACAT